CAAAATGGTGGAACATGTGTTGACGCGTGTTGGAATCCCCGGATGTTCACGTGTGAATGTCGACAGGATTATAAAGGAGTGTATTGCGAAAAGCACAGCGGAGGTGGGTAACTCGTGACTAAATAGAAGAGAAGAACACTTAAATTTGCGATAATTTCCTTTCAGCAACAAGTCTCATATTATGTTTCCTTTGTTCCACGTACAGTGAGAAGCTGTCAGCAGCTGAAAACCCTGGGAGCGAATCAGAATGGCATTTATAAAATCAACCCAGATGGTCAAGGGGTCATAAACGTGTACTGTGACCAAACCACAGATGGAGGTGGGTGGACTGTGGTTCAGAGACGTTCCCGTCCATACAAGCAAAGCTTTGAACGAACGTGGGTAGAGTATCGAGTAGGCTTTGGCGACTTGTCCAAAGAATTCTGGCTTGGAAACGACAACTTGCACCGAATCGCCTCTTCAGACAGCATTCTTCGAATAGATCTGCACCGAACCAACGGCCAAAAGGGATATGCCAAATATGGTGGGTTTCGGGTAGCTGACGAAACAGAAAAGTATCGATGCGACATGAGTTCGTACGAAGGAAACATCGGAAATGGGTTTTATGGAAATACAGATCCTAAATTGAACATCCGAGGGATGAAATTCGGCACACCAGACCAAGATAATGACAACTTCCTTGGAAAGTGTTTTCCTGATGGTGCATGGTGGGCAAACCAATGTGGCGAGGTTAATCTCAATGCAAAGAATGGTCCGGACTGGCGTCCTTGGGCTTCTCACCCTGACCTAAATTTCTCTGAGATGAAAGTAAGGCATAACTGAACAAAACTGCTATAGTCACCATAGTTCACCTTCAAAGATGCAAGGAACTCGACGAAGAGATCTGGGCACTAACTATTGTAGCCTTTATAGAATTTGCAATGGCAACTCAAGTTGTCATGTAACGCCCAGTGCTGCGTGGCGTTACAACCAAAAACAGCTGCGAAGGTGACTGAAATCCATTGATATATTATTAGCATAATATCCGCGTAATACATTGACAATAATGCGTATTCAAGCACTAGGTTTTAAAGATCTAATCGGAGACATAAGTGAAATCGCTTTTTGACTTCAACTTGAAAGGAAATGTGAAACCTCAATAAACCTTCCAATGGTGATGTTTCTTAGCACTTTTCCCACGAACAGATGTCAACATTATAAACAGACCATGGATGTCTTTGATCCTTCGTTTCCAAACAATCGTGACACAATAGGCCAAGTTAATAAAGTTAAAATTTGCACAAAAGGAATGACCTTGAAGTTAGGCCAACTTTGTTTCGATCTGTGGTCGTGGTCTGCGTTTTATCCAGAAGACCAAAAGTCCACGGGTCGGTCCACGAATTTCTACAGCTCGAAATTAAATTAAAAAGTTCATAAGTTCTCACGTAGATAACCAAAGCCAAATTTCAAGAGTTCAAAATACGACTACTTTGGCTTCCTTAACAACAAAGACCATATTAAATTTCGATTCACAAATACTCCAAGAACTATACAGATGTCTATCATTGATTGCCGTTGTATTCTTGGGGTATAAATCTAACTTGAAGACTCCACACTAAGTTTCTTATACGTAAGTACTATTAGTGCCGATAAAGAGCTGTACAAGACAGTTTCTCTTATTGCCAAAATGATTTATTTGAGAGTAATAGTGCAGGCCTCACTGCACTCACCCTGTCGTCCATTAACATCAGTAGCACGTACCAAGAAGTGGTACTTATTGCCGGGTGATAACTGAGTCAGAATGCAAGCCATAGGAAGCGTCAACGCCTTGACGACTCCAATCTTCTTCCACTGGTGAAGGTTCTCCGTTGTGCCGCCGTCCTGAAGCGCAAACAGTTGATAGTTCATTATAGGCGCGTGTCTCTCCTCAAGAGCCATGTACCACGACAAAACGATACCGCTTGGAGCCACCGCTATGGAGACATTAGGTTTCGGAGGGGGGTCTTTAGTCTCTGTTGCTGGAGATACAGGGGAATGTTGCCCTGAACCCGGCGGTAGACCCTGTTGGGTAGGCTGTTGGGGTCTTATAGATAATTGTGAATAGCTTTGCAAGGCGAATAGCAAAGGATAAAAGGAGTTTGAGTAGCCAATCAGAGCGCGCCTTCATTGCCATCCACCGTTTAAAGTATAAACTAATTTCTAAATCAAATTCAATGGCAGATCTCTCCCTTCAAGGAAGGGGTGCCACTTATAAAAAATTTTTCACAAAAAAAGCACCTTGTTACCTAGGTCTCACAGTCTTTGATTTTGCTTCCATCTCGCCTTTTATCCATTGTATCATGAACCTGTACATTTATTTTACACAGTTGGAACCAGTCTTGAGACATGGTTTGAGGACCAATGCTAACCTGGGCTCAGTTGTTGGAAGGCTGATTAGTGCTAACCCAGGGTTAAATTTTAATTCAGGTTTCCTTACTGCTTTGTTAAAAAGCCTTTTTTGGATAATTTTCTTTATTCTTTAAAAGGCATCCAATCATCAAATCGTAGACAAAACAAATTATAATGAATTTTCTTCTATAGCTTTAACCCTATAACTCCCAAGATCTGATTATTAATTTCCTCCTCTACCTGCTTAACATTTCCTTGTAAATTAGTTGCGAGAATTTGGTGTTAGATCAAGATAACAACTTCTACCTTCTCATTACCTGTTTGCTGGATAGTGCACAGATATTGTAAGGAGAAGTTACATGTGAATCACTTCTGGGAGTTTGAGGGTTAAGATCTGATATCAGATTTCACACTAACCATGAGGCTACCTCAACCCAGCTTTGCACAACATGGCCCAAGGCTAAAGACAAGGACAGCCTCAGTTAAAGTAAAACTTAATTTCCCCTTAAGTCTTAGTGTCCTTTCTATCCTTTCTGGGTGAAAGTTTCTTCTTAGTTTCCTCCTCAGCTTTTCCTCTGCTCCTTCTTCGACCTTCAGGACAGATCTTGGAGTTAAGACAGAACTCGCACATTGGACTTACAGGAACACATGTCTGTTGACCAAATCCAACCAACAATACATTCAGTTCATCCCACTCCTCTCTGCAAAACAGAAAAAGAATTCATTAATTTAGTCTCTGAAACCATACACTCTAATTATTTAACTGTGGGTTATGGGTAAACAGCATATGATAGTCAAGGTTTGCTATGCATCTAGAGAACCTTCTCGAAACGTCAGCTTTTTTACCCTTTACGCGAGCCAATTTATGTTTTCAACTCAGTTGTTAACACTTCATTACCTTTTATAAGGAGAAGCTTCATATTGATCACCTCTGGGAGTTAAAAGGTTACAAGTTAAAAAGGGAGTTCAGTGTCAGATTTTGAACCATTTTTGTTGCTTCTTTTTCTGCTTCTAGACTTCTGCTAATGGTTTTTATAATAAAGGGGGGGGGACTCAGAGGGTTGTATGGAGGATATCAACCAATCTACCCCCTTTTGTAAGTGAAAAAGTGACAAGTGAAAATAATAAAACAACTTGGTATAGCCCCCTTGATTCAGTAACATGCTAATATAAGACCCCCCTGAACCCTGTTTAACACAACTGATGATGGAAAATTTATCATCAGCAGCTATTCTAAAAAGCCCTACTAGTAAGTTTTTAAAAAATGTTCAAAATTTTTATTTAATAAGAGGAGAGAAGGCCTTCAGACTATTTTGCAAGTTGCTTTTCTAGTGAGTAAATTCTGTCAAAATCAAGTTTCTATCTAACATAAAAATTTACTCACCTTCCAGAAGCCAACAGGGTAGATAAGTTCACCAATTTTGCTTGTTGATGTTGTAAGAATGTTCTCTATTGTTAACCCATAAGCCTTTAACTTTTCCATTGCAGCAAAAGTAACTTGGTCTTTTGTTTGACTTGACAGCATTGACTTGACAGCATGAGGGAGATAAGTACTTGATATCAGACTGTCAGCAAAAGTGATGAGAGATGAACCATTGATACTGCACTGTCTTAACCCTCTTTCTCCTAAGAGTGACTGGTTTCTAATTTCTCCTAACAGTTTCACCCTTGCATCAAATACTTAAAATCATGAAAATAAAGGAAATGATGTCCAATTCTAGAAGCTCCTGATTGTCTAACAAATTCTCCTCGTAAATTGCAGATGGTATGCGGCATAGTCAATAAGTTTTTTGATTTTGGCGGGAAAGTGATGTCACTCGACCAGCTGATTACGTAATTAGTCACCACATAAAAGCCGGAGATTTGCCGTAGAATAAAACTAATTCCCTATTAGCACATCCTCTCCATTGAATTTTCTCCACACTGAACCCAAAAGAGCAAAGAATAGGCGTCAACAAGAGAATAGAAACTTTACAATCTCTTGTTTGGCATCAAATATCATCTGATGAAATTTTACTGTAAATTTTGAGCATAAGAAGTGTTCATGATTGAAATTTACACGAACTTGAGTGGCAAACACGAGAATAATGAAACATCAAAATTTTACCATATTAAAACAACAAACTAAATCAATGGTTTCAACAGAAAACCCATGTCACTTGCGTTTAGATGGGGCGGTTTAGATGAAATGAATGAGATTGGAAGGGAGTCCTCCTTAGGTCGTGATTTAATGATGTTGACAAGAAGATTGCGCTGTTTTAAACCTTAGTTTCTACATGTTCGTCCGATTCAGTTAAATAGGAACTGAAAAAAGTAAGTTAAAAAAAGGCTAACTACACGAGATATAAATTTTTCCATCAATCTTCTATGGCGCTTTGATTTGTCTTTTCTCTTCCCCAGTGTTAACTCCAAAGGTCTTTGTCCGTCTCGCTGTAAATAATTTATTATGGAGTTCAAAAGTCAAAATAGGTGTTGTTTTCTTCCGTTTTAGAACGAGGCATTTGCACATATGTCTCACCCGGTAAATACTAAATAATTTATGTAGAGAGCTGTCTCACCTTATTTCTTCAAACTTTAATATAAAAGCACAATTTTAATTTATTTGTAAGCTTTTCCTTCTGAAAGTTTTTTTTTATGCTAAAATGTTTAGTCGATCGGTAGGATGTTAACGTTATTCCTGAAGGAACAGAACGAATCATCAAGCTCATGATTTGGAGTTTGCGTGCAGTTTGGAAGCAATCAGCATTTATTTCATAAGGATTCAAATTTAGGTTTAGCGTCCTTTAGCGCCTTTGTGTATTTATGTATAAAGAGAATATACCCCTTACAGACTATGCAATGCGTACGTTGCGGGTCAGTATTGTTCCGACTTGAATTCACGTTACGTGCGTTCTTTAGGGCCTTCGCGCATTTATAGATTAAGGTTAAAAATAAATACCCAAAACAGTCTCTACAATTCTTACATTGCGGGTCAGTACTTTTTCGCATCAGGACTTCAAATTTATACGTATATCTCGCCTGGTAAGTACTTAATAATTTATGTAGACGAGAGCTGACTCACGTTATTTCTTTAAATTTTAATAAAAGCAGAATTTTATTTATATGTAGTTTTTCTTTTGAAAATTTGTACGCTAAGCTTGCGTTTTGAACGATGTTTACCTGATCGCTTAAGTGTTATTCCTGAAAGTAGACAAAGTAAGGTCAGGACTTAAACTCTTCAGAGATTGATAAGAGGTTACATAACGCGCGGATTACCTCAAAATGCTTTACCCTTTAACTCCCATAAGTGACTAACATGTAACTTCTCCCTATAACATCCATACATTACCCGCCAACATGTAATGAGAATACTCAAGCTTATCATGTGGAAGTTAATAGTCTTGATCTTACACCAAATTCTCGTGACTTATTTACAAGGAAATGTGTAGCAGCTAGAGGGGAGAATTAACAATCAGATCTTGGGAGTTCAAGGGTCAACATAGCTGCGAACTGAACCCACAATAAAGATCAGATAAAACCTTCATGTTTTGTTTCTTTTTTCTAACATGATCAATCTGTTTTTATCTAATTTTATCTAGTTTTAATTAAATTCTATCTTTATAGTTTCAAATTCTAGACTTCTATTATTTAGTTTTAAATTCTAGACTACTGAACCCTTGGGTAATTATTTCCAGGATAAAAGCACCACAAAACCCAGAAAACTGTTAAGTTAATTAATTCATGGCAATTGAGAAAAAAGAGAATGCTATAATTAGCACACGAACTGGTTCAGTCAGTGAACGAATGTCGTAAAATGTTATCAATGTCTTCCAAAGAAAACCTTGCACACTTATTTTCCCCCTTAAACCGTTTAATCTTTGTTCAATAGAAATAGAAGAGAATCCTTACTAAGTGTTTCAAATTTTGAAGTTGATCGAACTTTTAATAATAAATGTTATTCGCCAGTCTCCTGCTAAGTTTCTAAAACCCAAAACATAAAAAAACTGTGGATGAGAGTTATTTTTACTCGAACATTATTCATTTTCAAGCTGACGCACCAGCGACTAATTGAGGTCAAAGCTTCCTTATCACGACTTTATCTTGATCGTGAACTAATGCAAAAGCCGAGTGGAAGTAACTTGAAAACAATGCAGCGACTCACTTTACTCTTCCATTCTCAGTTTCTCCTGTGCTGGAAGTTTACAACTCCCTCAGCTCAAAGTCTAACAGGAACGTCGAACCCTGGTCGGTTGTCTTGTTTAAGAAGATCTGAACATCCTGAAAAAGGTAAAGCTTGACTTAAACACTTAATTTGCGCACTGCAAATAATGGCAAAAATAGATCTTAGACTACACAAAGATAGAAAACTTGACGCAGAACCAATGTGAACCGAGAAGATTTGTTGAGACTATTTAACTGAATAGTGGGGTTGAAGGTAATGTAATCGTGGTGCGCTGACTTTAATTCATCAGTTACAACACAAGCAAATTTTCGTATTTTAGCGAAAAACACTTTAATACCGAGTCGCGAGTCGAAGCACTTCAACTAGCAAATCATTCAGTTATCTTTCTCTTAACGTGAGCTCGTTTCAAGCTGTCAAATTCGGCTTTTCGTGTCGTGCATTCCTCCCTGACATCGCTTTGCTTGTAGCTGTAATGGAATAAAGTTAATGGTAATGATGGAATTTTATTCACCTTTAAATGGAACTACTTCAAGTTAACGTGTTTCAGACACGATCAAACTAGAGTAAACGATGGTCAACAAGGACGATGAGGATGAAAAGGAAGACCGGTGATCGAATACGCTGTGATCGGAGCATAAAATCGTCTGATGAGTGGGAATCTTAATTATAGGGGTTTCCAGAATTAAGAACCAACAACTTTGAAGCCTTGTGTATTCGCTTGTTGTGTATCGAAGAGTTGCGAACAGCCTAAGATAGAACTGGCCGGAAATTTACGAAAACTGAGACTGAGTAATTTTCGAAACATGAGAAAAATAATTCCATGTAAAAATATGTTAATATCTAAGCAATACTTTTCACTTCCTGTCGGTTTTCAGACGCAAAAACTCACACGGTATGTTAGGAGAACACAAGGAAAAGTTGTAAATCACGACCCGAGGGTGCATGATTACCAACGTTCCAAGTGCACTGACGCCTAAAAAAATGATAGAAAGTGCGCCTTCTAGCTTTTAAAAATGGAGCCCTGAGTTTACTAGTACAATGAACGATAGGCTTTCGATCAATCAAAGTGTTCCTAATATCTTATAAATTTTTACGATTTTCATCAAGTCGTCAATGTCCTCTTGATTTCTCTCTTTTTGTTTCCTGTAAGATATATCTTGAAGAAAACTCTCATATATGACGATATGTTTGCATCTGTTCCAGGCTACACTCTGGTTAATCACGTGATTGCTACGCACACTGTCACGTGCCCGATAGACTGTACGTGGGAATGCCTACGGGATGCACGCTGTCGATCGTTTAATTATGCAAACTCAGGGAAAACATGTGAATTAAGTGACCAATCAAAAGCGACAGCCCCAAATGACTTTGTTTTAAGAAAAGGCGTCACTTACTACGAGCCAACGACACAGATGGTGAGTCATAGAAATTTACAGATCAGTTAGAAACTTAATCATCACTGCTCAACCTACCAAGCGCAGGAACCTTTGAGGTCTTCGGTTTTTCAAATTCCATCTTCTGAGCAAGGTGGTGTCAAAATCATATCGAGAGGTCAAATAAATGCCTTTATCTCAGAGAACGGTATGGCTGCCTAAAACTGAACATTTACACAGAGCAGCGTTTGTAAGACCTTCATTTCTAGCCCGAAACACAGTAAGTTGAAATGTGGTGGAACTCAGTGGGCGGGAGTACAATTCAGGCAGCAATCGGGCGAATGATTTGAAATTACGAGCAGGAATGAAAACTTTAATTTAAACATGCGCACATGAATTGATTCATATAGCAAAAGTTCAAGTCGTAAGTCTAAATATTGTTACAAAACATCCAATGCTCAATGCACTTCAGAAATTTTTTTCCATTTTGACTGGCTAACATTTGCTAAGTGCTTATAATTGAACAGGTGAAATCAAACAATTTGGACATGAAACAGCCAATCAAGCCGCAAATAAGAGCTGTTTTATTGATAAAAGAACCACTCATACTCGAGCATTTTGTTATTGACACAATTGATGTCATAAAATGCCTATTTTCTAAAAGGAAATCCCGGGTAAATATAATTTGCTAAAATAGAGACAAAATTGTTGGTCGATATACACCTGAAACGAAATTTCATTTGAAGGAAAACAGGAGAGGGAAAGATGAATTCCTACTCAAAACTTTGGAAATATCAAACTTCTATACTCATCTTGAATTAAGGGTACAGACCACCATCAAAGAGAAACGTTAGCTCTAAGAACGAGAATGTATTTCAACCTAATGAGGTATTGTCATGGTAAGTTTCGCCTTATAAAAGGATGAAAGTACGTTTAACCATTCTTCCCATTTTCACCCAGGGAGGAAATAGACCTGTTTGCACCTCGGCTTTATGTCAAAATGGTGGAACATGTGTTGACGCGTGTTGGAATCCCCGGATGTTCACGTGTGAATGTCGACAGGATTATAAAGGAGTGTATTGCGAAAAGCACAGCGGAGGTGGGTAACTCGTGACTAAATAGAAGAGAAGAACACTTAAATTTGCGATAATTTCCTTTCAGCAACAAGTCTCATATTATGTTTCTTTTGTTCCATGTACAGTGAGAAGCTGTCAGCAGCTGAAAACCCTGGGAGCGAATCAGAATGGCATTTATAAAATCAACCCAGATGGTCAAGGGGTCATAAACGTGTACTGTGACCAAACCACAGATGGAGGTGGGTGGACTGTGGTTCAGAGACGTTCCCGTCCATACAAGCAAAGCTTTAGACGAACGTGGGTAGAGTATCGAGTAGGCTTTGGCGACTTGTCCAAAGAATTCTGGCTTGGAAACGACAACTTGCACCGAATCGCCTCTTCAGACAGCATTCTTCGAATAGATCTGCACCGAACCAACGGCACAAAGGGATATGCCAAATATGGTGGGTTTCGGGTAGCTGACGAAACAGAAAAGTATCGATGCGACATGACTTCGTACGAAGGAAACATCGGAAATGGGTTTTATGGAAATACAGATCCTAAATTGAACATCCGAGGGATGAAATTCGGCACACCAGACCAAGATAATGACAACTACCCTGGCAAGTGTTTTCCTGGTGGTGCATGGTGGGCAAACCAATGTGGCGAGGTTAATCTCAATGCAAGGGATGGTCCGGACTGGGGTCCTTGGACTTCTCAGCCTTACCTAAATCTCTCTGAGATGAAAGTAAGGCATAACTGAACAAAACTGCTATAGTCACCATACGTCACCTTCAGGGATGCAAGGAACTCGACGAAGAGATCTGGGCACTAACTAATGTAGCCTTCATAGAATTTGCAATGGAAACTCAAGTTGTCATGTAACGCCCAGTGCTGCGTGGCGTTACAACCAAAAACAGCTGCGAAGGTGACTGAAATCCATTGATATATTATTAGCATAATAATATATTGACACATAATTTAGTCTTGCACTAGGTTTTAAATATCGACATGAAATCGCTTTCTTCAACTTGAAATGAAATGTGAAACCTTTCCTTCCAATGGTGATGTTTCATTAGCACCCCACGAACAGATGTCACACATTATAAACAGACCATCATGTCTAATCCTGTTTCAAGACACCAAGAGACCAAAACAAAGTGAAGCGATCAAAAGCAAACCTTGAAGTCACAGGCCAACCACATGTTTCAAAAACTGTTATTTACAAATGGTCTGGTTTTATAGCCGTGTTAGTGAAAAAGGCTTTTACTTTCTTGAAAATAAAAATCATAAAAAAGTGTTTGTAAAATAAAGCCTTGGCAACTTCCCTGAACTTTTAAGCATATCGTTATATCATACTAATTTAATAGCCCACGAATATGTAACAAGTGCGACGCCAATTGTTACCATCGACACATCTCCTGAAGGACTGTTAAAACTATCCGTAAAAGAGGCCAGTATGTTTCTTTACAGACTTAGTTACCACAGTCGTTAGAGAAAGGCAAAATAAAAGTAATGCTTTCTGAATTGTTTTGAGGGGCGTCGGAATATTTTGGCTGCTAAATCCTCCGCGAACCTGATCTCCTCCCTTCAACGTATTGTCGAGCAAAAAAAAATTAGACAAAAAAAAAAAGTATTGCAAGTTAGATGTTCACGAATGGAAGAACTGAAAGATTTCACTCAAGTCAAACGAAGTTCGGGGGAGCTTTCTATGACTTGAAAAAAAAAGGAAGGGGGTAAGGCCTCCTCTCCAGGGTTCTATCTGTTTTCCCTCAAGGTTCATGCTGGAGAGGACTGGGAAACAGGTTGACATCGCGATTTCACATTCAGCCTAAGGATTTAAGCGATCGAGTTTAAAATCCCAACACCCACACCATCTTATGATGATCCCCTATTGTTGAAAATAACACATCAAAAGGGTTGATCAATAGTTCGTTCTACCCGTCATTATACGACGACAAAAAAAAAACGACGGCAACACATTCTTAAAATCTCTTATTTCTAAAAGCAAACAAAATCTACAAAACAGTAACCATCAATACTGTAGAAAATCGATTAATTCATATCCTTGACGTAATAAAACAAATTTCACGCATCTGAGATCGCCATTCTTTCCTTCAAAAGTAAAAAGATGTAAATACGTCGGCTTCAGCGGCGAAGAAGACATATATTAAATTTCGATTCACAAATACTCCAAGTTCAGTACTATACAGATTGTCTATCATTGATTGCCGTTGTATTCTTGGGGTATAAATCTAACTTGAAGACTCCACACTAAGTTTCTTATACGTAAGTACTATTAGTGCCGATAAAGAGCTGTACAAGACAGTTTCTCTTTTGCCAAAATGATTTATTTGAAGTAATAGTGCAAGCCTCACTGCACTCACCTTGTCGTCCATTAACATCAGTAGCACGTACTGGTCGAAGTGACTTAGCAGTCGTTTCAACGAACCGTCCACGTTATGTTTGTTCTTGAATATCCTAACCTTGGCTCTTTAGGATCATTATCAGCTTTGAATTTTCGGTTTCATAGACCACTTGAAGGACAACAAAATTATCCTCTTTGAGAGTGTAACGAGCACAAACCGACGATAGTTTACTACAAGTGAGTTGTTAATATGAATCCACAGGGGCGATTAAACTTTGAAATTAAATTATTCCATTCCAGTTAAGTCTCGAGTCTGCAGATTCACCTATCAAATTTTGAAGCCCATTAAAAATTTTTGTGATTTGATTTCAAGTATGAAAATTTAAAAAGAAACCCATTTTCTTTTTTTTTTTGTCTACAATTTGATGATTAGATGGTCTAAAAGGAATAGGGAAAATTATCCCAAAAAAGACTCCTGAATAAAGAAATAAAGAAGCTGAATCAAAATTTAACATTGGGTTAGTGTTAATCGCCCTCTGAACAACTAGGCTCTG